GATTGTATAAAATGAGATCGTTTAGTTTTGATGCAAGGTAGTCACAATTACTTACAACCATCCGATGTGAAATTTGATAGCTTGGGTGTATCACAAAATTCAAGAAAATTTCTTTTGAAGTTTGAGCTTGGTCAATGGAATAAATGCAATCTCCCAATTTCACATCCAATAGTTAAGATTAAATGTGATCACCTTGTACCAAAAGTAAATGGTCTCATTCTTTACGTTTCCATATATATAGAAAACACTACAAAACGCCTATAGGTGTAGGTGAAGTTCTGCAGTACTTCACCTACACCTCATCAGCATTCAAAGTTCATCACATGGTAATTATTGTACTAATCAGATTTATCTAAAATTTGGGGCATGTGTACATATGGCCAAGTTGCACCAAAGTAAAATATCAAAAAAATAATTTTCATAAAATAAAATGACAAAATTACCCCTGAAACTTTATAGGGGTATTTTGCATAATTTTTATCATTGAAATTATTTGTTTTATATTTTATTCATGTGCATCTCACTAAGGTGCAGACACCTCCAAAATTTTAGATCATTATGATTTGTAAAAAAATATTAAAATTCAAACACTATCTGACATCTGTAACTGTGTGATAAACTTTGATAAAGCCGTAGGTGAAGTACTGTAGAACTTCACCTATAGGCGTTTTGTAGTGTTTTTCCATATATATATATATAGATATAATTATTCAACTTCACTCTTGCAATGGCGACTTAACTCTTACTATTTGTCAGTGTTGGTTCACTTGGACTGATGATTTTCATGAATCTGTTGCCTTCTCAGCAGAGTGTTGGTAATGGGAATGTATGGGTTCTTAATAACAAGCACGGGTTCCCGGACTTTGAGAGATATGCTATGTTGGAGGAATGGTTGGGAAGGAAAGCCGACGATTATTGGGATGAAAATTTTGATAATCTTGCTTTGGTAATTTCTCATCAACGATATTACTTCATATTCAGATGTCATTATTTGGTGTTAGTGAGTCATATTTGAAGGATTGATATAATCTACTTACTGTGTGGTGATATAATAACTGCATCATAAGATGGCATATATAATAACTGGAAGGGGTCACAAGTGCCTGTTACGGGCTTTTTTCTTACAATCATCGACTTACAATTTTCTTTACCTGAACACCGCATTCCCCTTTGTTGGAGCTTTGTTTTCTTGCAACAACAGAAGCTTATATTTCACTGCTCAACAGATGAGAAATTTGCATTTTGCAACTCTTTTTGTGAAGGAGTATTTATCCAAAGTGATCTTTCTATGAAGTTTTGCTAGGATGCTATAATATAATAAATGACATGTTTGTTGAGAGTTCCACTTTCTGTCCATTCATGTCCAACCTATTGATGATGGAATGGTGTTGACCCCTGTGACAACATTGTGGCTATGATCACATCATTTGTAGTATTAATTGTTTGGAATAAGGACTCGTCACAACTCGGTAAATTATTGCAAGTTCATGTATCTCCATTTTTAAAGATTTTTTTTCTTTTCTTCTTTGGTGATTGGGTGTTTTATTTGTTAATCACACAAAATGTATGATTTTGGTTCTTCAGAAAAGGGGCAGCACTCATTTTATACCTGATAATGAGTGGGTACAGTGTGACAAGCGTCGGAAGTGGAGAATGCTTAGTCCAGGTTTTAACAGCAATAGCTTGCCTTCTGAATGGTTAGTCCCTCTGAATTAGAGTTTGACACATTTTAAATTGGTTTTTGCCCATCTGAATTATATTTTCTCTCTCATGCACATCATTTGTGCTATGATACCGATGATGGAAAACTCAGACTCCGGCATGGAACCGACAACTGCCTGAGCCTTATTCAGTAGTTTGACTTGGCTGCGGCTGAGTTAGTCATACCCAAGCCATTTTGCCATTGAAAGACCTTGGGTATCTACAGACATCATGAAATGATATGTATTAGCCATCTTTTGGACAAAATGTGTCTCCCCCATTCTCTTTCCCTCATCGTGTAGACATGATAATATTAAATTATAAGTTCTACAATTATATAAATATAGAAATTGTCAAATATCTCCTCAAAAACATAAATATAGAAACTCATTTTCTCTCTCTCTCTC